ACATCCTGTGTACATCCAGCAACTGCAATCGCAGATCGCCGAGGCTCATGCTGACTTCAAGCGTGGCATCGACCTCGACTGGAAGGCTTCTGTGTTGCGGTACCCAGAAGTGTTGGACTATTTCTACAGTCTAGTCGAACTGAGGCCGCCCAGCGACGACGACGCCAGGGTTGTACAGCCCCCCTTTGCAGCCGCTGGGTATGAGGATCGAGGATACATGGTGGGCGAACCTTCAATGGTGGGAAGTGAGAAGATAAGAAGAAAGAAGCGGAGAGATAGTGCTGGGGCTATGGCCTACCCCCCTGGGAGAGTGATGATGATGAGGCCACTCCCGCCTCCTCAGGTACCGAGTCCACCGACGCAGCAGCCCGGATTTGGGAGAATACCTGGGGCCTACTATGGATGAGCTGAGAGGTACGGCCTCGTAATTTTGCATCCGCTGGCGTTGGTTCGGGTTCAGTGTTTCTTGTTCTTTAAGAAGCATAGCGAAGGTTGGCTTCTTGTTAAGCGTATTTCCTAAAGAAAAAGTCACTTAATACCATAAAGCGAATGCCAAAGCTAGATGCTTGGATTTATGGCCAGTAACAGAATGACGAAGATTCTTGTCCAATAGTCATGTACAAGCCGTCGACGTGCTTTCTCCGCTGATCTTACTCTACCGACAACTTTTCTTCAAAAACACGTGCATAGAAAGCCACCCAGCCTATCCACACATTACTCTGTATATCAGAGAGAGGTTACTACTTCTGAGCACTGGACAACGCATGTAACCAGGCTAGTTACAGAGGGACATAACCCCAAGCCTCGCCGTCACTGTTCCGCTTGCAACTGTCTGCAAGAAGATGCTTTTCTTACGAATCGGACTTCCGCACTACAGGTCTTATGACTTTTTCGCGAAGAGGTCATCTCGTCGCCTGTGCTTACCCCTCAGAGACATCTCACCTGCTTGTGCCGAACCCGGAATCGGTGGGCCTGCCAACCTCTAGAATCTGGTAGGTAAACCCAATCGTCACTGGCACCATACTAGCTCGTATCCGCGGTCGGTGAGATGCGAGCAGTGCTTATAGCTGCAACCGCGGATATGCACCGTCGGTTACTTTGCAATGACGCCAGACTCAATGTGCGCACCTTGAGATGACAACGCGACATATGAGCACTCAATCGCGGTAGATCACGATCTGAAAACTGCAAAATCAGTTGTGAGGACGAAGCGCTGAATGTTCACGGGGTGCACCTGAGTCAGCAGTCCGGGTCCTTCAGCCTCTAGTCGGAGCGATGCCCCCCGCGAAATTTTGATGGGGCGGTTGTTCAACTTGTCGCGCCCTTCGACTTTGACATATGCAAGCGCTAAGCCGTTCCGGTAATGATAGCGCGCTCCGATCTGACTCTGAGAAGGCCTCATCTAGGACAGATGTCGCTCAAATCTACATACACGCCTTATAACCACTTTTGTTACTCTCATTCCGAAGCAGAGGGCGCATTTGTCAACATTTTGTGCACCTCTACATTGGTCATCGACTCTGGGTGACAAACCAGCTCCAAGTAGCCAGCACCATGGCTGCTGCTCCGAGCACGGATATGGCCCAATTCTTCGATTTCGGAGAAGCGGCTATGCCTGATACGCAACAGCAATCGGGTCAGGATACTTTGGCGATACAAGAAAGCGAGAGGTAAGTATTTCGTCATACAAACCTTTAGTTACTGCCATTGCGTTCCTAGCAGGCAAGTTTCATCTTGAATAACCTGCCGCATGAAAGATCTCTCGAAAGCAATCGATTCACGATTTTTGTATGTGATACTAACAGGTTACAGCCGACTCCTGAATTCTTTCCTGGAAACGAACAATGTCCAAACTAAAGAGTTTAACACAGACTTTTCAAGTTGGCTTCCTGGATATCAGAAGCCTGCAACACCTTGCGACTACTGCCGCTCGAAGTCGCTTGAGTGCTTCATCTATAACACAAAGCCGGATGGAACATCAGGTTGTTCACCCTGCAACAATCTCTTCCGACCATGCAGCTTCTCCAATCCAGAGTTGATGCCCTATCGAACGCAGAGAACCGCACTGGATACGCTAGACGTGGTGGGTGAAAACGACGTCCATCTTTGGGGTGGATTGACCCGCAGAAAGCAATTGAGGTCCAAGGGTCACATTGGACCCATCGACGATGAGTCCGGAGACCTTGGTCCTAAAAAGGGCGCTGCTGCCGCTCGATTCCCACGAGCTGCCGTAAAGATCCTGAAAGACTGGATGGTCGAGCATCACGATCATCCTTACCCCACGGACGAAGAGAAGGAGTTCTTGGGTGAACAGACTGGTCTTTCCACGGGTCAGATTTCAAACTGGATGGCAAACACACGTCGGAGGCAAAAAGCGAGGCCCAAGCGAAGCTCTTCTCCTAGCATTCGACCATCAACAGAAGCCCTCAACATTCCACCGGGCAGGACTTGGGAGTCACTGAGTAAGCAACCCCTCACTGATCCCACTAAAGCAGCAGCTTCGACGACGCCCGCTGGCCGGTTCATCAAGTTCCGAGTCAATGAGCAGCGTCAGGACAGCACCAGCGAAGTGGATTTCAGTCACGGCACAAGCTCAAACGTGCCTACAATACGTATACAGGAGTGTTTCGGTTAACTTTTGACAGATCCTTTCGAACGATGGAAGCACTCTCCTCCCGAGAACGAACCTGCTCCCCTGACGGCTATTGCCCAGGCCGTGGAGACCTTCGACCTGCCTGACAGCATTAGTGTCAGTAGCAGTTATCAACAGCAATCTTCAAACAGGAGTACAGATAGTTTCTCAGTCTTCAGGGCACCCTCACTGTCATCTCTGGAGACTGGGTTTACAAACATGTCTTCGGGGTCACTCGGTTCTCACAAGACAGTCTACTCGCATGGCTCCAAACACTCCCTCGGCTCGATGAACAGTCTGAAAGCAAAGGAGAAACGCAGGCGACGACGCATCCCAGCTCGAGCACCTAAAGATACTGAGAAAGATGCTCCGCGTATCTTTCAGTGCACGTTCTGTACTGATCGTTTCAAGTCGAAGTACGATTGGCAGAGACACGAAAAGAGCCTGCACTTGTCGCTCGAGAAGTGGATCTGCGCGCCCTTGGGCGAGGTCGTTGCGGATACTGCGACAGGCAAGAGCAAGTGCGTCTACTGCGGCGAGCTCGAACCAAGCAAGGACCATCTTGCTACTCACAATCACGCTGCCTGTGAGGAGAAGGGTCTTGAGTCTCGCACGTTCTACCGGAAAGATCATCTGCGCCAGCATTTGCGGCTGATGCACGATGTGAAGATGATTCCAGCTATGGATTTGTGGAAGTCGGAAGCTCAATACATCAAGTCCAGGTGTGGCTTCTGCAACATGGAGTTCGACAAGTGGCAAGACCGGACTGATCATCTGTCTAAAGAGTTCCGTAATGGTGCTGACATGAGAAACTGGAAGGGATGTCGTGGCTTCTCTCCCGAAGTCGCTGTACATGTGACTAACGCCATGCCGCCATACCTCATCGCGAACGAAAGCAAGTCTCCATTTCCGTTCTCTGCGACAAACAAGAACAGCTGTAGTGTAAGTTCACTATCGACGGCCCATGCGATTGACCAACTGGAGCTGACTTGTGCACAGCAAATACCGGTTAGCCTTGTAAGCAAAGACCTAGAGTACCTACTGCCAACGACCGATCTCTCGGATGCCTATCAAAATGGCGGACAGCATGTGGGGCCCATTGTACTTCAAAACACTACAGCCGAGGATTATTTAACGCACTCGGCAAACACTCAATCTCGAGCTACGTGTTGGGAGATCTTGACGTTGCGCTTGGGACGGTTCGCCCGTGAGCACTTCGAGAAAGATGGAGCTTGTACAATCACGGACGAGATGTTGCAAAAAGAAGCTCGCGTTATTCTCTATGGTGAGCCGGACGACCCATGGCACCAAACCGCTGCGGACAATCCGGAGTGGCTTAACCTCTTCAAGAAAGCCCATGGTATTGGTTCCAACACACAAATACCAGGTACGCGCGCTCATTTCAGAGGTCCTCACATGATAATAACGATTGCAGGGCTCAACTCCGAGCACGAGGTCTACGAAGACCTTGGCCTGAGCTCCAACGCACAGCTCGACCCGAGCTTCAACGCCAACAACGCTATTGACTTCAACGTGTTGAGACTATCCATGAACGACCCCACACGCGCGATCCAATTCGATTGCTCACTCGCAGGCACCACAAACATGTACACGCACGCACGCGATCTATCCCACACCCAATCCCCCATCCCCGGCCTGACAGCCTCTTCATCCGCGTCTCCAACAACGACCGCCTCGCGCCGCGCTTCCGGCATGACGATGGCATCCATCAACGAGCAGAGCTGCATGGGTCTGACAAAAGCCGTTGATGACTTCCACCTCCCGAGCTGGGACCAGCTACCGAGTGAGTTCCAGAACCCTGCGACGAGCGTGGGCTTCCAGTCTACGATTCCGCTGGAGGCAACTACGAGTGCGATGGATGTGAGTGCGGTTGGCGCGGAGGCGCCGTTGATGACTTGGGACGATCACGAGCTGGGCTTCGATATGGATATGGACCTGGACTTTGCGACCGAGTTGGCGAATTCTGGGTTGGTGCAGTGAGTGGGGGTACACTTAGACAGATACATGTTAGGGAATCTCTTTTCCAAGGGTGTTTTCCAAGATCTAGATACTGGCGTTGGTTGGGGTAAGGGTGTTTAGCGTGCAGAATTTGAACCGCTATGAATAAAAGCCTTTAATTGCAAGTACTTAGTTGTTTGCCTCGCCTGATATAATTCATGGACTCCGCGATCTGTTCAAGCCCTGACTGCCTTGTTCGAGCCTCCCGAAGCCCAGTGGATCATGGACCGTGCCCTCTCGTGACCATTCAGAGGCCCTGAGCGGGAGATGCCCTGACAGCGCAAGACGATACGTAGAATTTTGTATCTAATATACAAATGACTTATTTTTGATAAATTACATCATCAAGGGCGTCGTGGCGGAGTGGTTAACGCGACAGACTTGAATCCGAAGATCAAGCTTCAGTTTGATATCTGTTACCTTCGGGTGCGCAGGTTCGAGTCCTGCCGGCGTCGTTTTTTTTTTTGGCGCTTTCGCGCGTGATCCTACATCGAGGTCATGTACTTTTTGGCTCCGGAGCCCGACTCCTGAGTGGGCGTGGCGTGGCAGCGTCCTCCGACCCCCTTAGAACATCAAAAAGTGACCTACCGAAACCACCATTTTGACGCTGCAGGCCTGCTGCCATTGATGTGTGCTTTTCACCGAGCTGGTAAACATCGAAATCAGGTCAAACTTGGCGAACCGAATGAAGTGTGGGGGAAAGGCTTGAATCCGAAGGGGGCGCTTAGCTCGCTGGAGATGTCTTGCCATACTACCACGGAAATCTGATAAGTCGTGGCGTTTTCGAGAGACGATGTTTGATTCTACAATCCCGATTACGTTTACAAGATTTTGCTGCGTGATGGAGGAGTAACGTGTCAGTGTCTTAATGGCATCTTTATGGTTCCTGCAGTTTGTTAAGTGCAGGTTCATTCTCGCTAGCTATAGAGAACATTGCCCGCACCGAGAAGTCAGTCACAGATGTCTCAAGTCATGACAAGAGCGCGCCAGAGGCTGGGATTTAAGGTTGCTGCGAAGCAGTACCAGCAGGGGTTACAGGCCAGCACCCCATAGGTATGACCATCAAAACTGGATTTAGCAAGCAGTATGTAAATCCTCTGCAAATTTATTGTTCTTTCTACTGTCTCACTTACAGTATACCACAGCAGACCCAGTTATCGACAAAGACGACCACACCCTCGCTATCGTACTCAACCGTAACCAACCCCACTCAAGTAAACAATTCGCTGTCTACCCCCCAACCCTCTCCAAATGCGAACTCCAACTCTCGCCATCCTCTTATCACACCAAGTATCACAACCGCCCACTCAAAACCAGCAAAGCCCATCCTCGCCATCTCACCAACAAATCTCCTCCTCAACAGGCTATAGCTCGTCAGCACACACACACGCACTCCCAGCTTCGAAGAAAGCAACCTCACCCCAACCCCAAAGCATCCGGCGTTGATACACCAGCTTCCCGACATGGCGCACAGATCCGCACAGCTGACGCACTGGCCCCACCCCTCGGAGACTGCGACGTCGTATGGGGAAGTGGCGTTGCTAGGTATGGGGAGTATGAGGGGGTGTGCGGGGGTGCATAGGAGGAGCGCAGTGGTGAGGGTCTTGAGGGGGGAGAAGCGCATTTTGTTGACTGCGAGTGGGTGGGGGATGGTGAGTTTGGGAGGTGTTGATATGTATTTTGCGACTGCGATCACGTACAGGGTGTGAAGGGTGTGGAATGTGAGGTAGTGTGTTCTTCACATCCGTTGGAGTGCGCTTTTTCAAGAAAGAGAAGCGACAATGTATCTCAGTCCTCAGAACAAGATCATGAGGGTCTCCTTATTACCGGGAAGCTGCAGTATAAATCACCAGCACACTGAAATTTATGTCCCGAGCGTACAACGAGAAATGCAAACGCGAGTGGAGGTCGAGGGGTATTCAAACGGCTGTTGGTAATTCGATCTTTGAAGACTGCAATGATTAAGATTCGCTACTGATGCTCGATTCGATCCCCACGCCCCGTAACACCGAGAAATGTATGTAGTATATGTACAGGTCATGTCTGCTTTTGCGCTCGCTATGAAGGCAAAAGGAAGGAAAAAGGGAGTTTTGCGACTCCCAGTCGTCATGTTCGTCAAAGGTCATAAGTATGTTCATCCGCCGCTTGTAAACGCAGAAGGAACCAAAGAAAGGCGATGAGCAAGTACCCAAGAACATCGAAAACCAAGCCATTGCCAACGCCAGAAAAAGGAGATACAGCTGCCGTTGTGCCGAAAAACCCGGCCAAGGCCTCAAATCCAGTCATCGTCTTTCTTCCCTCCCACTGGCCCACCAATATCGATTTCCCTATCGAACGCTAATCCAAGGTCAAGCTTCGGGACATCGATCTGAGGTGCAGGCTCTGCCTTCTTCTTCGGGCTCATCTTGACTGGACTTGTACTGCCGGTGTTCTTATCCCCACTTCCCATCCTGACAGGCTTGACATCCCAATCGTCTTCAAGCGCTGCGCCGACCCATACTCTGATGCTGTCGTGTACAGCGCCATAGTACTTCGGGTTGCATGCGCGCAAATGGCCCATGAGCTTTTCAAAGCCTGATATACGACAGTTCTCTCGTAGGTCATTGCGAGCTTCGCGAGTAGGCAAAGATGCCAGAATTCCATTGAGGAGATCGATGTGCGTCGCGAGGTAGTTCGTTGCGTCCCACTCTACGCCACCAACGTAGGGCGCTGCAGGGACGATAGCGCGAGGCCCAGGAAAATGTCTTGTCGCATAGCTCTTTGCTTGTGTTCCTGATGAAAGTCCAGGTGGTGTTGGAATTACGTTCAAGTGATGGATGAAGATCCAGAATACCTCTTTAGTGACGTTTGTCATTTCCTTGCACCAAACTTGGTATGGTCGAGATGTGTGCATCTGCAAGATGAACGGTACAGTCGAAGACTCTTTCTCTCTCACGGGATCGCGGAGGTAGGTAAGCAGCTCCTCTGCGCGAGATGCAAGTTCGGATTCTGGCGCCATATCGATGTGAGCAAATATGATCTGAATGATCAGCTCGCGGGTAGTGAACTCGCTGGGGCCTTTATGTTCTTCGTCAAACAGCATGCTGAGAAGTGCTGGGTAAAGAGTGGGCGCAATACTGGCAAGCTGCTTAAGGGCGCTATCGGTCGTGCAGAGTCCCTTTAGACAACGAAGTAACTCGTGCAGGAGTGTGTCTTCGTGATCTTCGCGCCACTCGATCTCCATGATTCGATGGAGTAGTCCAACGAGCTCCAGCATGCCACCATCTTGAATGAAAGTATCGACCCATTCGACCGTCTCGTTCCTGAGCAGTAATCGCAGTTTGTGCAACTTGCCCACTTCAACGTCTTGAGGCTTCTGTATCTTCTTTAGGTAGTTGATAAACTCTGTTGACTTGACTGTTTTCGAACTGTTGGATACGGATCGGTTTGAAGCTGCATCTGAGGCCAAAGACCTGGATGAAGGAGATTTGGGAATCGGACTAGGCTTTGCGGTGGCGCCTAGTTCTGTTGCTCTTTGCTTTTTCGTCGGCGAGTTGCTCCTGTTGAACGTGAAGGTTCTGCTGGTAGGACGCTCACGCTTAGAGCCATCTGCTTTGCTCGCTTGTGTCCTTACGTCTTCGTCTTGCGCCGAGTCGTTTCTTGCCTTGAGCGACTTTGAAGGTTGAATCTTTGGAGCACCCCGACCGTCACTTTCACCAAGTGAAGGGACAGAATTGGTGGACAATCGTGGTGTATCGAGTTTGTGAGTTCGCACGAAGTCGGCCTTGACTTCAATCTTCAGGGTTCGCATGGCGGCGCGTTGGTGTGTGGGGATATTTCGCGATTCCTTGTTCTCGTTAGAAACAACCAGACAAGTGGTTTCGCTGTGGCAAGCTTACCAAAACCTCCTCGAATTCAGCATCAACGACCTTCGGATCGAGCTCTTTGGGTGGAGACGCTGCTGGGGCGTCTGTAGGCTTTGTCCTACCGTTGAAAGCGGCGACTGCAGCCATGACCCTGTTTTGCCTCTTCGTCGGACTTGGCGGAGGCTCCGGCGCCCCGTTTGTAGTGAGTTGCCTGGGTATGTCTGTGCTAGCGCGGTCCAGCGCAGGCCTCGAAGTTTTAGTTTTTGATGGCGAACTGTCCCTTGTTCGCTCTCGATTTCCCTGTGTATCGGTCAACGGTGGTCGGTCGTTGGTCTTCTTTCGCGAGAACGTTTCAAATAGTGATGTTGTCGGCTTCGGAACATGCATAGACTTTGGACGCTCCTTCGAGACGGGTCGCTGTTGCAGCGAGGGCTGCCCAAGTTCAAAGAAGTCACGCTGTTTCGCAGCAGGGTAGTTCTGCGAGGCGTACAAGCTGGCTTCGTCCTGCATGCTGCCACGTCGGTAGTGGGGGGAAACCTTGCTTGGAGGTTTGAGGTCCTGCAGAGGCTGCGAACTGAACTCTGCCCAGATCGGAGTCCGAGGCGGCTCAGATGCGAGAGCTACCGAGAACGGGTCCTTGTTCTCCTTATCCTTGCTGGGCGCCTGTCCGATCTTCCTGGACTTGCTCTTACCGAACATGGAAGCGAGGTTGGTAGAAGACTTGATCTTCTTCGACTTCTCGAGCATCTCCTCTTCTTGCTGCGGTTGCTTCTCCTTAGCCCTGTCCTTGCCCAGTGACCGCAGTGACACTGTGCTGAGAGTCTTCTTGTGCAGACCCTTCTTTGGGCTTGGACTCCGGGAATCGTGCGATTGTTTGCGCTGCGGCGGCGGGAGGAAGGGCAGGTTCTCGATCTGGTTGTTGGCGGTTCGCAGCTGGCTCTGGCTATGCGGGTGGTCCGGCGGCAGCAGCGACGCGTCCATTGGCGCAGATGATGGAGGGACCGGGAGGTACGGTGCAGGTGCAGTCGACGGCGCCGCCTTCAGCGCGTTGCCGTCAGAGGGCGAGCGCTTGTGCTGGCCCATGATGGACTTGAGCACCGAGGCCGACTTGTTGCGGCGATGACCGGCGGCGGGGCCGGGCGCAGGCGCTGCCATGGCGAAGGCAGCGACGATGGGGCTGGACGGCAGGTGCTATGGTGAGGGCGAAGGCCGACAGCAGTGGCCGAGAGCGATGCAGTAGAAACGCGTGCAGGCTACGTCAGGGACATGTCTCGCATGTCGGGCAATGGGCGGAGAGGTTGGGGTTGTCTGCTCCAGATGGTTCGTGCCTCATTGACGTGAGTAAACAAAGTAGTAGTACCGTTGCCCAGGGCACGGCCTTCACGCTAGCGGGGTCGGATCCAAAGCACGTGTCACACCGCAATTCGACTTGCGGCGTGCATCTGGGCCACTTGTTCTGCAGTTGATCCAAGAGCTGCTCCATTTAGCCACGGCACCTTGGGAAAGTGGGGGAGTTGCTCGTTCGCGGTAAGAGCATCCCGGTCACAAATTCGATTGCCTCCGTCCACTCGATCATGCGCACCTACACCGAACGGACTGCCACTTTGAGG